GTTTTACCTTCCCGGTGGATTTGACTCCCTTCCAGACGCAGAAGTAAACCAGAACCCAGACAGCCATCAGACACAAAATGAGCTCCCAGTTCATCTTCCCCGGTTCGTCCAGACCAGACGAGATGTTCAACACTTTGTTTCTGCGCAGAGAAGATCACAAAGAGCCCAGCGTCAGAGTCACAGAGCAGATCGGTGCTTTCCACAGGAGCAAAAAACAGCTGGCGGAAAACTTTGAAAACACTATGCAGATGTTAAAAAAGCCTAAAGGGGGCCTATTTTCTCTCTCGCACACACACACAGCACTCATATTTGGCTGAGACAGCAGCGCTTCCTCCAACATTCAGTCTTTTAACATCATCGCCACCTCGTTCCTCAGAGACGGCGCGCTGCTGACTGACTCGAAACTGAAAATCTAACGAGCTCAGTCACCTGACAAACATCTCTTCACCTCATTAGCTGCTCTGTTGTGTTAATAAGGTGCCAGGACGACACAGCCTCACCACAAACAGGAGCGCATGTGAGCCTTCATCATGATCGAAGGGCTGAAAATAGCTCCAGTGGCCATTAAAGGAGCTGCAAGCTTCACAAGCTGCACATCACGTCTGTGAGCGCCTCATTCTCACCTATAACTACAGGACACGTCTGCTGTTATTTTCTCTGTCATCACATTCACACCAACACTGTGTCAGTCCATCTCTAATTCTTACCTCCCTGCTTAGTCTGTGGCTGTCAGCTGCATTCAGCCATTATAACACGTCACAAATACTTCTGTGAATATTCTATAAAACAAACCTCAGTAACAGGAAATAGTTGGAGATATTCAGATTTAAAACTCACTCCCAGAACTCGATGATGGGCGATCGCGCGTCGGCCAGGTCGGCGCAGGTCATGTTGCTGCTGCCGATGGTGATGTTGGCAAAGCTGGCGTTTTTGCAGTCTTGGTGATGGAAGATCTCGATGCAGCTGGGCGTGTTCCACTCGTTGTTGCAGGAGGACCACGGGAGCGTGGCGGTGAAGGACTTGATCAGGTAGTAGAAGCCCCAGGCCAGCACCATGATGTAGTAGGTGTTACAGAAAAACACAATCACCATGGAGGCATAACCCAGACCTGCAGAGGACGAGAGCACAGGGGGGTTTTGGCGGTTGGAAACCACCCGTTTTTTTACCGGAAGGGGTTGAAGGCTTGGGTTCTTTAAGGTTTTTTTTTTTTTTTTTGCTGGTATATGATGCATAAAGATGCTTACTCATACTTTCTACTGGTTAATCAAAGAAAATGTGTCATTTAGCAACAGATCCTTTTGATTTGTTGTTTCTTCTATAAATGCATCAAAGATATTTTTCTAATCTTCTCTGACACTGCGGGACACTGAGAGCTAGCCTGCAGCTGCATGCATGCATGCACTTCACTGAAACGTGTGTTATGATGTTGAACTATCCATCCATCCTCTTTTGCTTATCCTCATCAGGGTCGTGTGGGAGGCTAGCCCAGCTACCACAGACTGAGGGGCAGGTCGCCAATCTGACGCAGGCCTGGCTTATTAAATTCTTTTATCTTTTATACTTTGTAGTTTTTGTGTGACTATTCTGACACACTGTTAAACACTGTTGGTGTTCAGCCTGTATAAACCATCCGACTGCTGCTACAAAGACTGAAGCACACAATAGAACATTTTTGTTTCTATTCTTGTACATTTGATGACTTTCATTGCACAATAAATAATTATTTCATAGAGACTCGAGCTTCTGTTTGTACAAACATTTGAGTTTATGCGTGTCAGTAAAATCCAGACTGCACTGTGAATTAAATAAACTCTACTATTGAACTGAACACAAGCTGAAGGTGGCCCACATCCCAGCACCACGTGTTTTCTTTCTGACGACCAACAATAAACTGAACCACATCCAACACACACGTAACGGTCTAACCTGAAAAACCCACAGTTTCTGTGTGAGGACAAAATCTGATCACACGGGATTTTTCAGTGACTACAGACAAACAACAGCAACGTTTTTGCCATTTTTGCTAAAGTTACTGCCAAACTGTGCTGAATGATTTGGGGAAATCGAATTTACAGCATGACATTAGTCAGTTTTTAGGAAAATATGAGGAAAAATACAAAAATTACTCCCATTATAGCCTCTTAACCCAGAGGTGGGGAACTCCGGTGTCCTGCAGGTTTAACACACCTCATTCAAATGATTAGTTCATTACAGGCCTCTGGAGAACTTCAAGACATGTTGAGGAGGTAGTTTAGCCTTTAAATCAGCTGTGTTGGATCAAGGACACATCTAAAACCTGCAGGACATCAGAACTTGAGGCCTGGAGTTCCCTCGCCCCTGGGTTAACGGTAAAGAAATTTAATCTACAGAAAATTTGTTATAGAGGACATTGAAAAACAAATGCTAATGTATAAAATGACAGTTTTGAAAGTAGAGAGAAATGTTTCCAAATCTTCTTGAACTCACAAAAACATAAAAGGCTGAAGTACTAAACCTTTAGGCTCATTTTTTCATTTAAAGACTACATAAAGAAATTAGAAGAAAAGGGCTTCAGGCAGAGCTGCAGAATAAACGTGTTTATACCAAATATTGACTTTTCATGTGTTTCCATGTATGTTTGGACATCTGTTTGCTACTATTTGCATGCATTTATTTTATTTTAGGTCCATCCTTGTATTTTCTAATATATAAAACTAAATCTGCTGTGATTGGCTCATTCTTTGCTCTGCTACATGCATCCTCGTGCTCCTCCTGCTGCTCCATATTTAGCTCCATTCCTGCTGAGACTCTCAGAACAGATGAATGAGCAGTTGCTGTTGACTGTTGGTGTTGCTCCCTGTAACTGTATCAGACTGAATGAATGTGAAGGCGGAGCTCTGTCAATACTGCACTAAAGGTCAAAGGGAGGCCGGTGTAGTAAAGTTAGCTACTGATAGGGCTGAAGAGTCATGTGGTCCGCTGTAAAGATCAGCCCTCTGATAAGTGCAGTGTGCAAGCGTTATTAAGAGGTACAAGATGTGCATTATTACTCTGTGTGTGTGTGTGTGTGTGTTTGTGTTTTTTTGTGGCCATAAATATAGTTAAATAGTCACATTTTGAGGACATCATGATGTAAATGATTAAGTTTTATGGTAAAGAGATGTTTATGGTTAAGTTGAAGGTCAAGTTTAGTTTGAGCACATTCACAAATGTACAGTCTGTGTGTGTGTGTGTTTGAGGGTGTGTGCGTACGTGCAGTTTTCCAGACGGGTGTGGAGTCACGTACAGCAGATCTCAGATTAGCACCTGCAGATAAACCTCCACAGAAAGCTGAACGTGCGCTCACAGACTGACGTGTCAGACTCACCCGCTCATAAGGATCGGCCAACAACACTTCTACTGACCGAAATCTGACGACATGGCGCCTTTATTCAGTCTTTGAATGTAAAATTATTAAATATCTTTGGTCTGTTTGTAAAGCCTGACGACAGGTTTGCACTTGAAGCCAACAGCTCGTTGAGTCAGATGGTCGCTGTCTGCAGCGGCACACCCAGGACTTTTGTTTTTCCAGTGAGATGATTTTAGGAATAACGAAATCTTCAGAAATTAAAAACAGGGAAGGAAAACTTATGAGATGCTTGTGATTGTGAACAATCGAACAAAACCTTTGGCCGTGACTGTATTTATGCTCTGCCCTTTGATCTATGACAGACATTCTGGTTTTCAAACATTTCAAACTCATCTCCTTCGTTTGGATTTTAAGCATCTGCCCCGAGACTTCTGCAGCTGCATATCTCATTATTATTCACTGAAAAGCATGACAATGCAGTGATTAGCAGTGGAATTTATAATCTGATCAAATCTTATAATGGTAATAAAAAAAAACAGCAAGAAAACTTCCCATGATCAGATTAATGGGCCAAATATTCCAAAGGCTGCGCTGCAGAGGTGGAATTATAAAATTTCACTTAAAAATAATGTAAAAGTAGTTAAAGTCCTACTAAAGAGTTTTGTTTTGGTAAATGTAAAGTCCCACTTTGTGGCGTACTGCACCTTTAAACAGCGGCGCGATGTTCCAGACGTTGATGCTTCCCGCTTTCATGAACTGACCGAGAGAGATCTCTAGGAAGAAGATGGGGATTCCTCCAACGAACACGATCAGCAGGTAGGGGATGAGAAACACACCTGTGGGAGACAGAGTCATCGGTGATGACGTGTTCAGGGACGTTCAGACATCTGAAAACCGTTCTGTTACTGTTGCACAAGAAAATCTTCAAAATCAAGAGTTTTCTCGCAGCATGTAGATGCGCTGCTTATTATATAGTTTCAGTTTTCCTGTTCATGAAATTTCAGCAAAAACCTGCAGTTCTTCTAACGGCCACCTGGGGCTCCAAGAACGGGTCGGTACGAGTCTTCTCACAGTGGAAACATGTTTACAGCCTCATACACAGTTTCTGCGTTACATCTGCACAGTGGATGATTTTTTAATAGCTCAAAGACTTTTGTGATGTTTGCTTTATTGAGCCATTTTATTCCATAGAGCCGTTTGGTTTTGTCATAATCACCTTTTTTCCTTCTATATTTATATTTTTATTTCTGGAGTTGCTGTCTTTAATTATTGCTTTCTGCTTAATTGGAATTTCTTTTATGGAATTTTAAACATATTTAACCTTTTGATTTTGTCACATTGGATTTTATTTAACTGAGATATTCTAATTCGTTTTAGTTTGTTATAACTTGTGTTTAGAGCTGTTGAGATAAATAAACTATCTTGTTTGATTATTTCACAAGTTTCTGACCTAAAATAAAGAACTATTCAGTCATAAATAATTTGTTTCTACTTGAGATTCTCCAAATGTTAATGTTTTAACAAAAAAGGCAATAATCTTCTTTAAAGTTATTTTAAATCAATCAATAAATCTTCATTTCTGAATGTTAGACTCAGGCTACGTCCACATGTACACGGGTATTTTTGAAAACGGAGATTTTCCATTTTCGTTTTAAAAAATAATCCCGTCCACACGTAAAGGCAGAAATGAAAGAAAACGCTGCTAGGAACATGCCAAAGCAACAGGTGGCGCTATATTCCTAACCGTGTAGAAATGTTGGCCAATCAGAAGTCTAGAAGCCTCGGTGGGAAATAGTAAACAAAGTTGGGGCATAGAAGCAGAACCGAGTCGTATGTGTGGAGGGACACGTAAATGCAAAAACAGAGTTTAGAAATCTCCGTTTTCAGTGACCGAAAACGCCGTTTACGTGTGGACGAAAGGTGCAAACGCACAGAAAAATCTGCGTTTTCAAAAATACCCGGGTACGTGTGGACATAGACTCAGCTGCATGATGTCTATAATCATAAAATCAAACATAAAATTATTTTGCTTCTCAAACATTTTAACGAATAAATCTTTCATTTGTTTTCTTTTGAGCAGAAATCGTCTCCTGTACGATGTTTTAACGTGACTGAATGAAGTGTAACATGAACCGTACATGTTAGAATTGCATTTTAATGCTTTGGCTGTGATGAATTATTAATGGATCTAAAGAAACAGTGAATGAATGAGTTTCCTCTCCTTCACTCTGAACTGCAGCGAGAGACATGAATGAACAATTATGCTTCCTCTTCACTCTCTCGCTCCGACTTTGGTATTTTAATTGGCGTGATGGCGGATCCACACACACACACACAAATATATATATACATACACAAACAGCAAGGGGTAACTGGGTCACACTGCCACCAGGAACTGGTATGAATGGAATCAAACTGGCATGACACTGGAGGGGTGAGAGAGAGAGCAGGGGGTGCTGTGTGCCAGCAGTTACATAACAGTGGCTGCCATTACGCTCTCAGCTCTTACACAAGGAGAAAGAGGGGTGGCCACTATCATCATATCATAACTGCAATGTTAAGGGACCAGCTCAGTGGTACTTTATTATGTTTACAGCCAGTGTAGATGGTTTCTCCCACAGCAGCACTCTGATGGCAGCCACAACATTTAGTTTTTTCTTTATTTTTCACATGAAAAATAACATTAAACAACATTAAACATTATTCAGATTCTCTGTTTTTCCTGTCATAACACGGTTCAATATACATGTGGTTAAAGTTTTAAACAAAGAGGAGGGTAAAATAAACTCCCTGTGAGTCACAAGATCAGTTTTATGTGGAGTTTTCAGTACTGTGCAAAAGTAGCTCGAGTAGCACGTGCACCTTAAGCTGATTTAGCTAGATCAGGCACAGCTGCAAGCTTCTTTGCAACCCACGTTCACCCCAGCTACACCTGTTATGTTGCATCTGATGTAATCAATGTGCATGGAAGTGTGGGAGATTTAAATATTGATCTTGCTTTGACTTTACTTGCAGACTGAAATAATAAAGATTAGGGATGGCCATGATGGTACCGGTTCTGACATAAACGGTAGTAACCAGACCGAAAAGCAGCGCACATTTC